GGCTTGGTCTTCATTTTAAATGACTAGGGCAGAGGCATCTGGGACATGTCTGCACAGGTGACCTTGTGTGACCTGTCAGCAGCTGCTGGCATCCTCAGCAGAGGACGCTGAGCCTTTGTGAGGCCAAGGACCCTCTGGGATTGTGCAGGCCAGGCAGGGACCTGGCCCACGGTGGGCTGGGGCTCTGCCCGCCTCTGTCCGGCTTTGCTTTCTCTTGCAGAGGACAATGGGGGAGAAGAGCCGGTGGCCCCTGCTCCCCACCCTCCTCACCCACCTGGGAGGCTGCTGATTCACCTTCTCAAAGCGTCCTCCGTGGGCCACTCATCCCTGTGCCACCACCATGAGAGCCACCTTCTGCTCCCTGGACAGTTGTGCCAAGGCCTCACTGGCTCCTCTGGGGACCCTCCTTCCTGTCTTCCCACGGCCACTGTCTCTGCTTCAACCTCCCCCACTCTGTTGTGAGCGAACCATACCAGCAACACGACCAAACACACCGGCGTCTTTCCACCGTGTCGGAGTGTATTGAATAACAGTAAATTCACAAGTGACAGCGCTGTCCCCGGAGCAATTCACCAGTTCTCATGGTCACATCTGGCCCACCCCAGGCTCTTTTATTCCAATCTTAATTACTAATATCCATGACACTTGAGTCACACGTCACCCTTTACCAGGTGACAAATGATTGCATGCATAAGGTTACATATATCGTATTATTACAGAAAGGGTCAAGGTGGCCACAGGGCTTCAGGAGGCTGCACTGAGAGCAAAGGCTGAGGGTCCTTGGGTGGTCAGGTAAGATTGAGAACCAGGATCAGCCAGAGAACTCGCCCAGGACCTTGAGTTGTCAGAGCACAGAGCACCCAAGCCAGGGTGCGGGAGCCAGGCAGTTCCCAGTGAGCCCGTCCAGAGGGAGACTGAGCTGAGCAGAAGCCCCAGGACAGAGCCTGAGGCTCGTCCCTTGTCCCTCAGATGTCTGATGGCCAGGTGGGCTGCACTAACCCATCTTGGGGGCTCCCGGTTGGGCCTCAGTGAGGGGCTGTTCATTCGGAGGTCTGGGCAGCTGGATGAGCTCATGGGCCTGGTTTTCTGCCCTGGGGTCGAAGTGCCCATCATCCGTGTGCTTCTGACCTCACTGGGTAAGTGCCCGCTTTGACTGGCACAGTTAACGGAGCAGCTTGTGCCTGGTGGTGGCGCGGCAGAGGGTGGTGGTCGACTTCTGCAGACAAGGCGTGGAGTCCTTCAGCCCCAGCACTGTACCAGGGAGGAGCACCCGCGGCAAAGTGCTGCTTTGTCACGTGGAGTAGCTGGGGTCAGGCACAGCCTGGAAAGCGCTGTCCTATATTCACCATGGACTCCCTAGGGGGCTGGGCCTGCCTGCTCCCCACAGCTCCTCCTCATCGGATGAAGCCAAACCCCTACCCTGCTCTGGGACCGCTGTCACCCGGCCCCTCCCCTGCCTCCCTCC